CCCCCCCCCCGCGCACGGCCAATGACGTGGCCATCATTTGGTACATTCTTTTTTCAATATTTCCGCCGTTCCCTTCCACACAGATGCATCTTCCAAGTGTCTATCCTGTTGGGTTTTCTATTTTCTACCCTTCCGCCCCACTCCCCCTCCCCATTTCAGCTGGTCACCCGCCATCGCCCCTTTTCCTTCTCCGCCTATCACGGGACACCCGCCCTCCTCTTATTGGCCGCCGCTGCACGCAGTCGGTCCACGCGCCTTTCCTATAAGATGAGACACGCCAACCCTTTGGCAGCAGTATAAATCTGAAGAAGGCCACAGCAAGATGGCAACGTCAGTACAATTGACCGAGACGCGGCTCATCCCGGATAGCGAAGAATACAGATTAACGGTAAAACGTCTGCCGTCAATCGAATTTTGGATAACAACGACCCACAAATCACGGTTTCATTCATACATTTTTTTTCTAAATTAAGCATCTGAATTTATACACTTTTTTGTTACCAGGACCTTGTAATATCAGTTTCCTGCCGGAAATTCGCCGTTTTTTCTCGCAGCATTACATAACTTTCTCTTCTAACGAAGTTCCTTCATAAACACGAGAAAGTAATTCTTAAGTTCCTTCTTAAGCGTGAGAAAGTAAAAAAAAAAAAAAATCTTATTTTCAAATTATGTTTTTGGAATCTTGACATTGTTGAAAGTAGTTTGTTGGACCATTTGTGGAACTATACAAATCTTGATGTTGTAATATCATCTTGTATCTTCATATGTAATATCATAATAAATCTTGATGTTGCATTAACTAGTTGAATACGTATTGATTGTAAGATCATAAATAGTTTAAAGTTCCAGTGGAAATACAACTTTGCCTTTTTCTTTTTGTATTAAATATTTTTGTGATTTAAATCCTTTTTCATTTCAGTTGCATTAAAGAAATATGTAATTGTCTACTTCCTTTTGGAAAAGAGCCTGAAACACATCGATCATAAACCAGAACGAGATTTTGATGACCTGAAATGCTCAACAAAAAGAATACTGATGTATCAAAATGGATGTAAGTAAATCGGAGGACCGAGTTTTTTTTTTTTTTCTAGCATTACGCTGTGATGCCTGAAGCAGTTTAAACAGACCTTAGTAGACATATAATTAAAATGTTTAAAAAATACTAAGTTAAGGCAATCCTCAGTTGGTCGGTTAAAAAACTAAAAAGAGTGTATAATCTTCAATACATATAATGTCAGAGTGAGAGGAGCAGGTGGAGACTGCAGGGAGGGAGAGTACGTGAGGTCGTTGAAGAGGGCAGAGAGGGAGAGAAGAGTTGTCAATTTGGGCAGAGCCAATAGGGGCAGCAACACAGGTATTAATCTATAATCTAGGGTTCAATAAAACAACCTGAAATTTTTTTTATAAACTAAAAATGGAAATATGAATACATATGAAGTTGTCTCTAGATAGTAATACATATTAAGCTTTTTTTAATTTTAACATTCATTGGACAGAAAACAATTTGTTAATTTTAGTCTTCTACATTGTTAGACACTAAAAAAGTGAAATTAGAATAAGAACCAATTTTATTATAATTTCTTATAAACAGTTTTTTTTAATAATCGAACATATTACTTAATGTAATATTACCACATTTTTAAACTCTGAAATCTAAAGACATTTCAAGTTAAAATAAAACATAATTACATGGGATTTTCAACAATTATTGAAAAATTAAAGTTTAAGCACGAAATAAAAAAAAAATAATAAAAAAAAGAGATTTAATAAAAACATACAAACAATTTGAGATTGATGATGAAGATGTGGGGTTAATTAATTTTATTTAAGAAGAGTCCATTAAAGTAAGACATGTCATGAAAGTATGAGACTTGATTGTAGTATTTCCAAATTAACCTTCATCAATTTTTTTGTAATTTATGAACATTTCATACAATTATTACTTACCAAAAAATAAATTTGTTTTCTAAATTGTCCCCTAGATTTATCTGTTTCAATAATAATTATGGAATAGTTAAGTGAAATATTAACATGTAACTTAACTATCTAAACTTAACTTAAATAACTAAAAATATAACTTTCACAAAAATAAAACATTTCAATGGAACAGTCAACTGTATTTGAATTGCATACATTTGATTTCCCTTTACCAATTTTTTTTATCATTATTTTTCTTTTTTGTCTCCCCCCAGATGCTTTTCCAGATTTTTAGATTGACAGAGTTCTTGTTTTCTTTTTAACCTCCAATTGACTGAAATGGTACTCACCAAAACTTCCACAGTCACTGTAAAACAAGATTCTTACTCCTTAAAGTTATCAACTCCTTAGTAACCACAATGAAATGTATTGAATTAGCACACTACCTGTAGGATTTCCTGGATTAATAACAACAAGAGCACGAGGTTTACATGTTCCTTTGGTATCATTCAATGCTCGCTTCAGTTCTTTTATTGATATGGCCCACCCATTAGATTCATCTAAGTAGTAATTCATCTATAAGAGAGACATAACACAATCAAATAGTCTTTCTTAGTTTTAGGATTCTTTACTTGCCAATGAAATGTTCTTACTTGTTGCATATTATTGAAATCTGCAATAACTGCAGGAAACAGAGGATAGTGAGGTATAGGTACCATAACACCTGTTTTCAGCCCACTGGTTTCACAATCCAGAAGTTTTAATACTGCCTGTAAACATTAACTAAGCAACATAATTTGATTCAGAATAACTTAGGCGAACGTGAATCTAGAGAAAAAATAATTTAATTTAATATACTTACTTAACATCAGAATACAAAAAATCATTTGTTGAAAATTAAGTTCTAATCATAAGAAAACATATTTTACACTAGCAAGAAAAGTATAAATAGACTCTCATAACGATATAGAGTCTCATAATTTTATTGTCAAGATATATTGAAATTTGGTTCCTGTTATCAAAATGTTCACAATATATATAACATATCTATCAGAAGTATTCTTCACTATATTTGTAATCCTACAATTTTTATAAAATTTTAACATGTAAAATTACAATAATTTTGACTGAAACACAAATTATCAAAATGTTTTTAAGCTTTAGTTGGCACAGACACTGAGTTACCATAATAAATCATAATTATTTAAACAAAATTATCTATTCCTATTTATAATTACCAAACATTTAAAAAAACATAAAATACTAATATCTTATTAAAAAATAAATAAAAGTAGATAGTAAATCTCGGGTTCATGGATGGCAAGTACTTCCTTGGAGTGTTAATGAGTGTTAAATCAAACAAAAGATCTGAAGGTCAATATCCAGATGCTTGAAGTTAAAATTCCAGGCATTTTCCAGATTCTGGTCTGGTACAGAGTGCATTTAGCTTTCTTAATTAAAATTCAGAAGTTATTTAATTGTGCCATTTTTCATTCCATGGCTAGTCTCAAAATTCTCTTCACTATTCAGGTTAAGCCGTATTGGAAACTGACCTCTATTCCAAATTACTATGACCTCTACTTCAATTCACTTATGTTCTTTTTTCATTTTCATGTTTAAATACCAGAACTAATTGTTTTCTTGAGTTTTGTACGTTGTTATTCAGGATGAAAATTTCTTCTAATCCCAGGCTAAGACACATTCTTTTCCTGACATTTTATTAAACTTCTTATCAGCATTATGGAGCAATCTATTTTTTTAATTTATTTATTTACGCCAAAATCATTTATTTACATAACAAACTGTGTGTGACGTGCCATGGGGAGAAGTTAATTTGAAGTTGCATATCTCAAACAGAATTCAATGTGTCCTTCCCTGAATTTAACTAATGTACAAGAACCTTGTAATAAAATACAGTTTTGTGAACACTGAGAACTTGTGATTGTTGAGGATATCAAGCACCTGATTATTAGAGGACATTCCTACTTACTGTAGGTAAGCGTTTAGACATTAGGAAAAGGAGTAGTATAGAAAAATTAAAATTATGAAAAGTCCAGTGGATTACTATAGAATTCTAACTGCGTATAGAAATGAGAAGAAAGACACAGGAGTGGGAGTGCAAGGGTTTAATAAATTATCAAAAAATATATTTAAGTCACTAATCCCCATAAAACTATCACAAGTGCATACTTCAAGTTTCTGTAAGTATTTGATTTCTTATTCTAAGAACTGCACTTACGAATTATTTTTTCTGTTTTGAAAAGAAACTAAAAATGTGTTGCAAATCTGAACTGCATCTACAGTGCTAGGGTCAACTGCATCAGCAATGAAAAGAGGAGATATGAAAAAACTAAAAATTTGTTGATCTTGGCCATGAATCTAATACTTTCAATGTAAAAGCTCTCACCACTGCATTTTGAGGAAGTGAACATCACCCAATATGGAACAAAAATGATAAAACTATTAAGCATTACTACAAATGTAAAATTTGAAGCAGTTTTCCCAGAAAAATTTTTAGTTTTCAAAAAACTTCATTTTAAGTAATTTGAAGCTCTTCCACTTACAAAAAAAAATTTACAAATCACAGGAAATTGGATATAATATAGGGGTGAGAGATATTTCTAAAAAAAATATATTTTTATAAGTTTTGAAACCAAAAGATACTGCAAAATGAATTTTTTTCATTCATATTAAACAGTGCAATTCGCATTATCAATATGAAAATTTGAAGAAAAAAATTGGAGCCGTTTTTGAGAAATTTTATAATACATCATTCAAAGCACAAGCAATCTAATATAATCTAAATTAATTTAAACGCACAAAGCAAAAGAATAGAGCAATATGGCGTTTATGTCATCATATATAGAGTACATTTAGCACTAGTCATACCAAAAGAAAAGTTTCACTTTCTCGTATACATACATATATACAGAGTAATATACGTAGTGTAGGGATAGTTATAATAAAACAGCGGATTCTCGGCAGAAAAAAATTCATTGCTGGGCTAGTTGTTAAATTAAGAAGAAAAAATCGTCTAACAGGCGCGGTGTAGCCAGAAATCGTGTTTTGTGGGTCCTTTACATCGAAAATCAATTGACGGCAAAGCATTCGTCCGTGAACACCACTAGCGTCTAAACCGTACGTACGACTTTTTTCCGAAATGGATATTGCTCGGTCGATCTGGCTCCACTCGAGGTGCCACGACTTTGGAAAACGTTTTTCAAATTTTGCGGGTATTTTACAGGAAATGAGGAAATTTATTTCGATAGAGATTTTAACCTACACGAGTCTTAAAGGATATGAAACCAATCGAAATAAATCGTAGTCGCTCTGAGGAACTCTCCTTACCCTTTCCTCCTCTCGCGTGTTAATTACCCGCATTATCTCTCAGCGCTCGTGCGGCGAGAAAACGGTTTTTAACGGAGCTGTGACAGAAGGAGAGAATCTCCTTCCTTGATCTGGCATGTATTGGCTTCTTTTCTAATCAGCAGAACGCACCATGGGCGGCGAAACATCTAACACAACGTACGTGTACAGAAAAGCCGTATCTAATTGTTTCCTCTTACGAAACGTGTAAGAGTCGCTACTGATTATGGCTGATCATGGTAGTGCGACGTCATAAATCTCCCCGAATCCAAGAACAGGCAAGAGTTGTGACGACCATGAATCAGCCACATAAAATGAGTGTAATCTGGTAATCAGAGAGAACAACTAGGTCAATAGGGTACGGCAATGAGTTATGTGAGTGATAAAATTTAGGTTGCTAGAGAGTTTACACTATACTTTTATTCCAGTTGATGCACCTGCGCATAATATTATATCTTGCCAATTAGACGAGAATCCATCTCTTTCTTCAATGAACGCAGCTACTCGACGGCGAACGATTTCAACGCCCGAGGCTTCTGAATAGGAGCCTGCAATGAACGAACGAGAAAATATTACAGGCGGTAGAAATCAACATTTGAAATAATATTAAAATTATAAGTTGAAGTAATAAAATATTCTCAAAATGATAAGATGATTCCACCTAATAATGTAACTGTGATACAATACAATTCAATTTACCTGTACTTCCTCCACTGCATCCAGCAAGAAGGAATTTTGCTCTTTCTTTAACATCATCAGGAAAGTTTGAATATTTTATCAGCTCAGGATAAGATACTAGGGCCAAGACCTAAAATGGATATATGACTTTATGTTCTTTTTACACATACATGAGTGTCGAGAAAAAATCTTTTCAATAACCAACCTGGCGAGTAAATGTAATTGGGGGTTGTCCCATGGCTTGGAGATCTCCAGTAACAGCGTTGATGACTTCCTTGAATGGTTTCTTTGCTCCCTGAAAAACATGTTTACATTTTACACATCGCAGCACAGTATAGAAAGTATTGAAACTCAAAAGAGCTCAGGAGAACATTTAAAAGGGTTAAAACTAGATTATCAAATCAAGTTGATGAAGTACGATAATCGAGTTTGTTTTCTTCTGAAAGATTATGATCGTTTACGCAGTAGAGAGAGTTATGTAATGCTGCGGGGGAGGGGGGGGAGGCGAATTATCAACAGAAAAACTCTTATTGTCAGGCCCTGTTAACGAAAAAGTGGATGTATCTAGTTGCCAAATTTAGAAAAAATCTTCTAACACGCTGGATAATCAGAATTCATGTTTTGTGGGTCCTTGATACAGAAAAAATCGATTGACGGCAAAACATCTGTCCGTCCGTTTGTCTAAACCGTTCAGCGCTTTTATTCAAAATTGACGCTCCTCAATCGAACTGCTTGGTGACACGCCCCCTTGAATTTGAAACCGATATTTGAATTTTGACCGATATTTGACTTTACATAAAGTCTGGGACATTTTCAAAATGTTGAAAAAGTGACGGCAAAGTTTCTGATTAAAGTTTGTTGGATAGCATAATAGATGCTTAACAGAAATGTGCAGGTCTCATGTTTTGAAATAAAGTAGGGCACATGTTTCAAAAATTGGAGAACTTTTCGTGTAAATTTGCGTGCAATTTTTAATTTTCTTAAAAAAAAATTAAATATGGACCTTGGATAGCGTAAAGGCCGCCTTTAGAGAACGGTGCAGGTCACCTTTTTGTTGAAATGTCTGATTTTTCGGAAATAAAAAAACGCGTTTTCCTAAAACTACAATTGTGAAGACATTTTCCCGTAATGAAATGTGTTCACCAAAAACTTAAGGTGTTTATTGTCTAATTTGGCGTCAAACATAGTCGCCCACAACGAATTTCCTGCGCTTCACGAATGTAATACTTGTACGATGCTAGGCAGTTGGAAGCTACGCAAGATAGAATTTGTATACTACTTGTATTTCATCTCTCTCTGTTCTTCTCTTATATTCGAGCTTTTGTTATAGTTACGTTTACAAATTAATGTCTTGAAATTATTTAAAACTCATTTGATAATCCATGCTTTTTGCAGTATTGCGAAGAATGTATTTGCATTTTCAATGTATTGATACATTTTCTTTCAAGCAATCCGCAAACATGAATTAAAAATAGTCCAATTAGGTTTTCTTTTTTAAAATACGAATATTTAAAAAAATAATATGAAAGAAAACTTTAAATCCTCCAGGGAATATCAGATTGAAATGCAACAACGCGTCGGCAACAATGACTCGGGGTCTAATTTTTATGAATTACCTCTTATTGTAACGTTATATTAAGAATAATTTCTTGTACTATTATCAACTTTTGTATAGAGCTCATTTCAAGACAATATGCATAATACTCAACTGTGTAGAAGGCCTTTACCCTTCATGAAACTTTAAAAATAATAAAATATTTACAAATTTTTGCATTAGATACAGCGGTTTTCAATTGGGTGACCTTTAACTCTGAGAGTTCACTGCATGTTCCTTTCCGACAAGTGCAAACAAAAAGATTGTAATAAAAATTATATTTCACCTCTTTTAGAAAAGAGACATCAATAGTTGTGTTGTATTTTTTCAACATCCTGCATATTTTCAGTAGGTGTACTGCGTTCACTAATAACGTCAACATTCAACACTAGCGATACTACATCAGCACTTACTTTCTCGCGTTTTTGTAATTTTTTGTAGTATCCGAGGGGGAGGAGGGAATGGAGCCGGTTTTTGAGAAAATCTGGTTTTGAAATTGCTTTGCACGCAAAATTATTTGAAAACTAATCAAGTTTTTAAAACATTGTACCTGATCGTATTTAATAATCTACTTTTGAAGATCAGATTTTATTATCGAAATAAATCTTTCTTCAATATTCTAGTTTTTGAAAAACGCTGGAAATATTTAACTTGCATTTCCAGAGAGTTCAGATATTTCAGTATAAATTGGATAAGTCATTTTTATAAGCAAACAATGCTCTTTTTGAGGAAAAATATGGAGCCATTTTCCAGAAATTTTTGAAAATGTCGTTGGGGCCTCATGCAAAGAACCCTCCAGAATCAAAATATCCAAATTCAAGGAACGGCGACAACGGAGAGATCGATCGTAGAATATCCATTTTGGTGAAAATCCTGTCTATACCGCTAAGTTCACCGCCACACAGGGGTTTTGCCGGAAACTGATTCTTCGGTAACAAGATCCCACAAAACGCGTATTTTGCCCACGCAACGTATTAGAGGGAGTTATTTATAAATTTTAGCAACAAGAATTATTAATTTTTTGGGATCAGGGACCCACAGTATGAGTCATTCTGTCAAAAATCGCCGTTTCTCGCAGCAACATTACTTTTATTCTATACTACGTAAGTAGTATGCGTGGAAGTAAATTGCATGGACATTTCTCTGTCGTGAAAGACTTTCCAATTTTGTGCAAATGTCTTGTTAAGTTTGCTCGTGGTAACAAGCGTTACGGGCACTCGGGCGCACTGAAGGGGCGACTCAAGACCACCAAAAGTGGGAGGATAGTAAATAATTTAGACGACGCATTTAGTTTTTCGATTCATCCGTTACTTTTCGAGGCATTTGTTGTTAATGTCATTTCTATTCAAAAGCCTAAATGTATATTCGAAATTACTTTTTACTTTTGAGGACTTTTCTGAATATTTCGAAGCCAGTTTCACATTTTTTTAAATTGCATTTGAACTATTTGCGTAGCATCAAATATTTCAGGAAACGAGAAAAGTCAGGTAATTAAAAGAACACAATATGTACCCTTCTGCGCTGAATGACAAAGAAGTGTATTTGACCTGAAAATAACAGAAACGAAAATAACTAGAAGATATTCAAGTACTGCACTCGGATGAAGGGGGAAAGAAGAATTTTGATCGGGAATAACTTACTTGAACAAACACCCTTTGTAGTCAATATAGAAATTCGCCTAATATACTTTCCAAAAACTCACATCCCTGATGACAAATTTTAAAATTATTAATGCTTTTGCATTTATTTATCCGCGTGGGATCGCTCGAATTTTCATAAATCGTATTATGTTAATTAATATAATTATCCACATTAAGATAATAATGTTCGGAAATTACCCTTACCTGCTCCAGTTCCTTTTCGATTGCTGCTGCTCGAGAGACAAGAGGACCGCTTAGCACATATTCCATTGATTTGACACACGGATTAAGATTATCCATCGTCAGGAGTTTCCTCTCCCGCCCACTGACATTCGCCATTGCCCGTGGAAACTGGTAGCGATTAAGACTTTTTGGCGATAATTGGATCGAGCATCCTCGTCCCTTAATCTTTTCGGAACAGTTCACAACGCGGTAAACAGTGCGCGGCAAAAACCGTGATGACATTATACTTGTTAGAGGTCAGGAAACAACCAAGTAATAAACATCGCTCGATGTGCAACGAATAGTAATATTTACTTATGATGAATGTTGATTCACGCTAGCTACTAGAGAGCATTTATGACAATTCAATGTTCGCAATGTGACAAATGAGATAAAAAAAGTGAATGTATCCTTTTTCACACATCAAAACGGCACAAAATTATCACTTTCGCACTTATCAGAAGTTCCACTTACGCGTGAACATTCTATTATGTAGTTTCTGGCAAAGCGGATTTCATCTGCTTATCTCTTTAAAACATTCAGGTTCTTCTAAGCAACCATGAAAGACGAGATCGAACAACGTTCGTCATTTCACACAGGAGAGGGCGTTTGTGTGTTTTTGATGAGATCCGGACTCTTTCACTGGAGTGTTCCTTCGGGTGTTTGTGATGGCTGTAATCTACATAAAAAGTATAATTTCTTATCGTATCAAGTGAGACTTGTTGGACGTCAGTATGCCGCCACAAGTTAGATAATCGCATGCAACAAAAAATCGAATAGAGATTCTTTTTTCGTTTGTCGTAAAATATCATGGTGATGTGATGCCTTTAAAAAATGGGCACCGTTTCTAGCCATTCCTACTACACAAAGCAGAGTTGCCAAAAAACATTTTGTAAACATCGATAATTAGATCTATGTATTTTATTTCTAGTTTCCGCTTCCGCGGTAGAAAGAAAGTAATGTAATGCGGAAGAAAAAAACGCGAATTTTCATCAGTATAACTTATTTCATGGCCCTGGCAACGAAAAAGTGGATAAATCCAGATGCTAAATTTATTAAAAAATCTTCTAACACGTGGTGTACTCTGAATCCATGTTTTGAAGGTCCCTGATACAGAAAAGTCGATTGACGGCAAAAGGTCTGTGAACAACGCTAGTAGCTAAACGGTTCAGCCGATATTCTCCAAAATTGATATTCCCGTACCGTTCATGCTGATGTCGCGGCCCCTTTAATTTGAAATCGGTTCCTTAGAATTGTCTTTGTGAATTGACTAAGAATTGCTTTTATTGAGTCATTGATTGTTTATTATGTATTTAATTTAGTGATTGATTGATTAATTTCAATGAAACATTAAGGATTTGAAATTTTGGTATTTATTTTTCAACAGTTTTAAAAATAACTCCAGTTCATATTGTAAGTAGCGTGGGACGAGGAGCGAATGGAGGTTTTGTTAGTTTAGTTGTCATAACTGGGATATGATCTCAGTCTAATGCGTGATGAGCTGGGGAGTAGAATGGGTCTTTCAAATTTGTTATTGCTACATGTAATTATCTGGATTTTTATTGGAATCACATGGGAAGTGGGTTGGTTCTGTGAGCGTTAGTATTTTAAGCTGCATGGTGTTTTGTGTTCTGTTTAGGTATTCACCGGCTGGGTTTGTGATCCGACATCCCCATGCAGAATGCTTTCAATTCAGATCTCCTGCTATAATGAAAGGAATGGGCAATGGTAGTAATTGATTTTTATGTTGGGTGGTTTATACGTCGAGACTACAGTTAGTGTTTGATTATTGTTATATGGTACATTTACTCCGATTTCTTCTATACCTGACGTGCATGGCAAGGTTATTTGGTGTTAAATACTAAACTTAATCAAACTTAATACACTACCTCCATAATTTTCGTTTCTGTCGGCTGTAATGATTTGTAATCCTGATATTGTGAATGTTTTGCTTGGGCTCAAATGCGTCTCGGTGATGCATACGATGTCTATCTTTTTTTGCATGTAGAAAATGTTCTAGTTCGGTTTTTTGTTTACGGTGCCATTTGCATTCCAATTGAGGATGGTTAATGCTTTATGGTGTTAATCTTCCATAACTGTTACTAATTGTGGGCGATGGAGTTCTAAATACTTTGTATTCTTGTTGGAATTAGCGTGTTGATGAGGTTGACTATGTGATTGGTGATGAATTGTGTGATGTTGGTAATGAAGGAGTTGTTGTCGTATTGGTAAATTGATTGTTTGCTGATTGTGATATTGTTGATAAACATTATTTGCATTCCAATACTATGTACATTCATTTGACCTGAGGTCAGCCCTGTGCTTCCTCATTCTTACAAGCAGGAGTTGATTTCTTTGATGGACAGTTTGCTGAAAGGGTTTTTTGCACAGAACACACACGAAACTTCGCAGTTGCAGTTATTTCTACTGTGACCAAAGTCTAGACAACGTTAACACTGAATTGGATCTACTGATTTCCTCCTTTCCGGCTTTACTATGGAGTTTTATTCCAAAACTCTTTCTATTTTTTTCGGCGCCGTTGAATTCTACTGCGACTACAGGGATAAAGGAATTGTGTTTTTTTAGTACCATCTCTACCTTTGCAACTGATAGAAATTGAGACTCAATGCCTTTAAAAATTTCATTTTCCGGAATTGAGAGATGAAGGGTTTTTTTATCACAATTGAATATTTTTTTTATACTGGGATCGAGTAATTAAGTGAGTACGTATGGAATTGTTTATTAGTAATTAAAAAGTATTCGACTGCAGCTCTGAAGTCTGATTTTGTCGTGAATTGTATTTTAATATCATTGTTCTTGAGTCGAGTAAAGTTTTCTGTTAACTTAGATTTGATTTTCTTTATAAATTCGGTATGATTGCTAATTCCTGTTAAATGGATTGGGGGATTTTTTTTACTTCTACTGGTACTTCATGTAACTGTTTATTTAAAAATCTGAATATATTTTACACATCTACATTATAGTGTTTTTGCAAGTTATTGTCGGTGTACAGTTCTGAAGAAAGTTCTATCGAGGTCATGCGTTTGGCGTCTCTGTCACTGGCGTTACCTCGGACCTCGCGGTTTCGCTTCCCTTGCATTAACTTGTTTGTATTAAATTCCCAGGGCTGAGATCATTGTTAGACATAAATATCGTGCTCTAACACTAATCACGCACTTCCTTCCACTTAATATTACTTAGTACTACAAAACTAATTATTTTATCAACGGCTAAAATATGCATCGTGCATCGTTGGTACATTTATGTAGAACGTGAATACACTGACTTCAATGGCAGAAAGCTGTTTTCTTTTAAGCATTTAAATTCCGTCCATTTTTTCATGATGTTGTAATTGTGCATTGTTATGTTTTTATAATTTTAACTGCAGCATCAAAATGAAATTAATAATTTCTGAACTTCGCGATTATGAAAGTTAATAAACCATGTATTACACTTATTTTTAACACACACACACACATAAACAAACAAACACACACACATAAACAAACAAACACACACACATAAACAAACAAACACCCACATAACAAACAACCACACAACATAAACCAAACAAACACACACAATATACCAAACAAACACACACATAAACAAAACAAACACACACACAAAACAAAACAAACAACACACAAAAACAACAAACACACCATAAAAACAACACCAAAAACACACAAACAAACAAACACACACAAACAACAAACAAACAACACACAACAACTACAAGACAAACAAACAAAACAACAAACACACAACAAACAAACAAACACACACAAACAAACAAACAAACAACACAAACAAAACAAAAACAACACACACAAAAACAAACAAAACACACAAACAAACAACAAACAAACACACACAAACAACACACAACACAAACAAACAACAAAACACAACAAACAAACAACAACACAACAAACAAACAAACACACAAACAACAAACAAACACACACAAACAAACAATAAACACCAACAAACAAACAAAAACAACCACAACAAAAAACAAACACACAAAACAAACAAACAAACAAAAACAACACACAAAACCAAAGACAAACAACACACACAAACAAAACACACACAACAACACAACAAACAAACACAACAAACAAACAACAAACAAACACACAAAACACAAACACAACAACAACAAACACACAAACAAACAAACAAACACACACAAACAA